GTTGCACAAAGTACAATAGAAAAGTTGCGTTAGTACATGTTCCCTTCAAGAATTAAAAAAAATTACAAAAAAATGATTTCAATTTAATTTTGATTAAGTTTTTGTTTTTGTTTTAAAATTTAAGATAACATTCAGCTTGTAATAATAATTCAGAACAGACCAGATGGGTATACATTCCGGATTAATGTCGAAAAATTAATATGTAGTAATGGTTATGTTAAGATTTTTACAGGGAACGACGATTTGCTGACCTTACTAGGATGCTAAATTTAACACAGTTTCATACTCATCGCATACGTTTACCATTCACGTGCAACCAAGTTCTTCTTTACCTCTAATTATTTTAAAATTTAGACAAAACTCAAATGGGAACTGCAATTAACTGTACAGTTATTAGCATTGTGTGAAAATATGAGAAGGTGGAAGGTATTATTGACGACCATCGCTTTAGTGAAAAAGATGATTTGGTTAAAGAAAATAGAAACTTAATCAGTCTTGGACCATTTTAACGAGCAAATGGCTTTCATACTTACGGATTGAAAACTGTCTGCTTAGATGTCTTGTCAGAACGAAAGTTCTATCGGAAAAGGTTTTTATTTAAAACTTTAGAAATTATATACGACGTGAAGTTTCGAGATATTTTGACGAAGGTTGGGACATTGTCATGATTTAGCGCAAGAGCGACCATGTTAATTGATCGAATCGTATTGACGGCCAGTAAACGTAACAGTTTTGAAATGAGAATGATGGTACCTTCGCATACTAAATGAATTGGGAAAATTTTGTGCCGATCGTATCATTTTTTTAAACTCTTCGCAATAGTCACCCTCCCCGAAAGTGAGCTTTTACTTCCTTAGGAGCTCCGAATTTTGATACCTATAAAAATAGTAAATTGACGCAAATTTATTATGCTAAATTTGCCCTACATGGAAGAGTTTTCCTGACAAACTTTCCCAGGAAAAACAAGCCTTTATATGACAAAAAACTCTATTTTTATTGTGTAAACAACAAGTTCTTTTAAAAAAAAGATCGTGAATTTTATATCTAAAACGGCTTTAATACGAGAGTTTCCCAAACCATTTTTTTAAATATTCATTTTTCAAAGATAATTCCAAATAAAAACCAGCATACACAATTTCCGAGTCAAAATTATTATACGTATCTGAACCAGAACGTTACCGTTTTAAAGAATTTATAAATGAGGCAAAAGCACATGGAACACTAGATTTTTCGGATATTTAGAATTACTATCACGCCAACTTAATAAATGGTGAAGCATAATTTTCTTTATCGGGTATTTTTCTTGTTTAAGCAAATCAAGCATTCATATGAAGTGCTCTTTTGTATATATAGAACTTAACTATTTTGTCAATTTCAAAAATGTAAAGTTCTATTTATTCGGAAAAATTGTACTTTTTCCTGCATTTTACTTTTTTGCTTACTAAACATACTTAAGCTTCCTTCATAGAATCACTTCATGAACGACTATTAAAACTAAACACCAATTTCAGCTGCTAAATGGTAAAAGACCATATTCTTCATTAAGAAATTCTTCTCCGAAAATTGTTCATGTGCTTTTTCTTCCTTGTTTAGTTAATTTCTAAAAAAAAGAGCTTATCATTATCCAAATGAATCAAATACAGATAATAATACAGATAACTTAAGAACTTTGAAGAAATGTTTTTTCACTGTACTGCAATTTTAGTAGTATTATACGTAATGTTCTTTTTGTTCTTAAATAAACTAGCCTGCTGTAAGTTTAACTAGGTAAAGTCACGAGTCCTCCACCAGCGTTGAAAATTTAATAGTTATTTAGTTCAGCATATTCCAACTCTTGAGCAATCGTTTTGTACTTCTCTTTGCTTTTGCTCACCTCCTCTAAAATAAATACGTGCAGCAAAGTTATTGATAATGAAAAAAGCACCAGAATTTTGTTCGCGTTAAATTGTTAACGTAAAGTACGATAACTTTTATTAAAAATAAAAATAAATATAAACAAACATACATCTAAAATTAAATTTAATAAAAAATAAAGAGTGATTTTATTTTTACATTTTTAATTCATAAATGGTGAGTAAGTAAACCGATTGTTTAGCGATTGAAATTAAAAAAATTTAAGTACATGTAGCAAGTAAAGAAAGAGTTCATGATATCAACTAAAAAAACAACTGAAGGCCCGAAAATCGTCTCGTCAGACATTGGTTGAACAAACGCTTATATATGCTTCTATGAGGGTACTACAAAGGACGACAAAGCTCTCGAGTAGTTGATTTTGTAAAGAACATTTATTCCTTGAGAATAAGTTCCACGAAGGCGGTATCCAAATCGTCGCCAATATCTTTGTATCTTTCCTTTTCCAAGACCAAATCGTCTATTATTTAAATAAAAAAAGAACCAAAAAATAAAATTTCATAGCAAATGCACAAAACGTAGAAAAATACTTAAAAGCAAGCCGTACATGATGTGGGACGAGGAAAACATTAAAAACATTAATAATAGTAATAAATAACTCGTCATTATTCTTCTCTTCCAGACTCATACACACACATAAATCTTTCTCCTATCACTAATTAAACAAAAATTAGAATTAAAACTAAAAATTTACCTTAAAGTTTATTTAGGCGGTTTAAGCTGCGGCGCCATTGCTTGCAGAGTTAATAAGCATCATAGATGATTTTCATTTTTTTTTTTTTGCAAAGCGTTGCTGTAAACTTTTTTTCATGAAGATAAGTTTTTAAAAGGATTATTGTAAAAAAAAACACATCAAAGCTTTTTCAATCTATGCTTTAAATATTGTTTTAATAACGGTCATGCAATACAAAGAGATTATACTTTTATTATATAAGAATTAAATAGCATTAGATGTTACACTTTTCCTTTTTGTTTTGGCAGCGATTTAATTTGTACTTTCAACTATTGCCAGAAATACTTAAGAAGCTGGTGCTTCTGCAGCAGGAGCAGCTTCAGGGGCTGGGGGCGCAGAATCGGCAGAGGCAACTTCAGTTGGAGGAGGAGGTGCTGCGGAAGTAGAACCCTCTACCGGAGCGGGTGCGGGAGCATCACCCTCAGTTGGTGCAGGCGTAGCGCCTTCAGCCGGCAGAGGTGCAGCTCCTTCCACTGGAGGGGCAGCACCGTCCGCTGGAGGGGCAGCACCATCCGCTGGAGGAGCAGCACCGTCCGCTGGGGCTGTAGGCTCGGCGCCAGGTGGTGGGGGTTCGTAATTTTTTACGAAAGGTACCTCAGCGCCTTCTGGAGGTAAGTCAATAGCATATTCGAATGGTGGTGGGGGCGGCGGTGGGGGAGTTGGTTCTTTGACAGGTGGTGCAGCCGCTGCTTCACCGCCTTCGGTAGTAGCGCCTTCGATACCTTCGGCAACAAGCTTAGATGCACTTTCGGCACCCGCTTCGCCAGCTTCCCCGGCTGCTGCAGCAGCTGCAGCTGCTTCCGCTGCCGCTGCTGCAGCTGCTTCGGCTTCAGCCTTGGCAGCTTCCATAGCCGCAAGTTCTTCGGGGGTAGGCGTTGGTACTTTCGGCGTTGGTGGTTTTGGATTGCGCGGTGTATAGAATGGTTCTAAGCCAGGTATTAAATCCATGAACGCCAAGTCCAAGCTGTCGCCAATCAGGCAAAATCGTTCCTTTTCGACTATTAAATCATCTAAGGAATCGCAATCAACGAATAAAGCAACAAAAGCAGTATTTAAAGATAGATGATCGTATGTGAAAGTAGAAGAACGAATTTTGTTGGAAGAGAAAGCGAATGACAGAATCATGAAAAAGCGAAAGAAAAAAGGCAAGGAAAAAAAAGTATTGTAAAGTTAAATAAAAACAAGGGAAACGAATTTAAAAATTAAATAGACTTAGAAAATAAATTAAAATAAGAACCAAATTTTGGTAAACTTATAAATAGGGAGATAATATGAAAATGTAAAATGTTTAAATTTAAAGCACACGGCATTAGTGGCCTAATCAGCTTTCTTATTGCTCACAACCCTGTATTTGTCTATGGGTAAAAAATACGACCACGTTCACAAAAAGTCAGACCGAGACTCGAGATATGCTGGACTCCCAAAATGGGGATGAAAGAAAATTCGTATTTCGGAAATATTAATTGGCAAATTGAGCATAAATAGAGCTATAAATGCCAGTAAATTGATTCATATCATTTCATTTCATGTAATAACTTTTGTACGGAAAGTAAAATGGCAATACAATTTTTATCACATTTCCGACGTTCTTCTTCTAGTTGCAGATGCTAAAACTTAAACGACACACCAACTCCAATTTTTCGGAAAATCAATTTTTTTATTAATTTAAATGATTTTTTTAACCAGTTAATTGCCCTTGCCGTTTATGCGCGCCGACCCAAATCTTTACTTGGCTCGATTATATATGTGAAATCATGTGAAATAAGACCTTCCCATTCGATATAAGAACTCAAAATTGCAGCAACAAGTAATACAAACATCATTTGGTGGTATGGTTGCTTTATAGTACCAGTAAGCGTATTAAAATTTTAAAAAAATGTAGGTTAACAAATTCTTTGACTTCCTTGTATAATGCATAGCTTTTTACAAAATAAATTCATTGCTTTTACCAAAGGATCCGGTTGCTTTCATATCGAAAGGATGCTGGTCAGAAAATGAAGTCCGTAAGAATTCTACTTTGGTAAGTTATTTAAAAAATAAAATTTTTCAATGACAATATTTTTTCGCCAATAAAATACTAAATGCTATGTTTAGCTTTTTCCACAACATTTATTATGCGGCCGTTTGCACTAGAGAAAACATATTCCAAAAATATATACCACATACTTTCCGCGGTTAACTGGTTAAATAGCGAAGACTGATGTAAGATGAATGAAGTAGTGGCAAACTTCTCAAGCGTCTGAAAAAATGATTTTCCGAATTTGATCGTACAGCAGCATCCACGTAATCGAAACTTTAAACGTGGCATAACTAGAACGATCTTTATAGGAATTTTTGACAATTGCTTAATACAACATTCTGAACAGAACTTTTGATCAAAAACTGAAGTTTTTCATTTATGAATCGCCAAATACATAAAAACAAATATGTTCAAATTCCCCAAGTAGATCCCTAGCCGGTTAAAATGCATACAGAAGCCCTAAATATGAAAGATCTCTCGTGAGGATTGCTCCGTTGTTGCAATTTGTTAATATTTTTTGAAAATAATTTTAGTTAATTTAAGTATATGTTTGGTAACCTCTCCGAATGTTATGACTCTATTACCTTTCCATCTGTTCATAGATCAAATGGAGGCAGTTTCTGAACATATCAGAACAAAATATGTTTCTTTTCGCGTATTCACAGTATTTTCGTTATTACTTCAATAAATTAAAATTTTAAAGGGAAAGTTAATTGTTAGTAAAAAAAGAAATATACGAAAAACAAAATGAAACATAAACTTTATTAAAACAAGCGATACAGCGATATCAGATATTGTTAGACGCTGCATAGATTTATAGCAAAATGAAGTTTGTGACAATGAAATTACGATATGAAATTCGCAGATGTTAACACGAATTTCCATATTCCAACTTAAATGTTTAAAACTTAAGAGTTTTGCTGCGATATAGTCTTGGAGCGAGTGTTATTATCCGCAACAACTTCTGTGCCTTGTTCTGTAATCTGCACAAAGCATCTCGTAGCTTCATTCATCACCATCATTTGCTTTTTCAAAGTGTCCATCCGGTATAGTTGGCTTTTCGAAATTTTTAACGTAAGGCACTTCAGCGCCTTCAGGTGGTAAGTCAAGAGCGTATTCAAACGGAGGCGGCGGTGGCGGTGTTGGTAATATAGCTGATTCCGTCGGAACTTTCTCAATGAAGTCGACTTGTAAATTATTGCTAACCATGACCACCTGTTGAACAATGATATCTGTTACTTCTTGCTCCTCAGTAGCTCGTTCAGCGAATACAGTTGCCACCACTTTCTCCTCCTCATGCACTGGTGTAGGCAATTGAGGTGTTGGTGGTTTCGGATGACGATCATTGTACACAGGCGGCATACCCATCAATTCAACAAATGTCAAATCCAAACTATCGCCAATAGTTGCGAAACGTTCTCTTTCCAAAATTAACTCGTCTTGTATGCGCAGACATATCAGACGATACGTTGTGGCACGTAAAATTGTTTAAGGTAAGTAATAGAATTTAAATTGCAGTCAAGTGTTTAAAGCAGGTTTTACAGGTTTTTTTGGCGATTTACATATTAATAAGAAGAACATAAAAATATTGGAAGAACGACATAATAATGTTAATAATTCTTATGTGTAAAGTTTAAAACAAAAAGAAAATGAACATAAGAGGGAAGAATAATAAACAAAAAAAAAGGCATTAATTTTCGTTAAAGAGCTTAGAACGTTTAACAATCGGGCGGGCAGACATGTTCAACAGATTTAGTTAAGTGTTTTCCTTTATAAAATCTTCGATTGTAAACTGAATGTATGAAAGTCGAAGATTAGCATTTATTACATACACAAAGAACATTTAAATAAGTAAACATACAGTAAACAAATCTGTAATGAAAACTTAGTAAGTATTAATGACTTTTTTCGCTTAGACGTGAAAAAAATTCGATTCGCATTTTTTAAAATATTCAAAAACAACATCCAAATTCGCGTGTAGTTCAGTAATAAGAGCAAGAAGAGCGTTGACGATATACCGTCTTTCGTTTAGGTCCGCCGACAAGGAATAATTGCAATATTTTGAAATTAAGATAAGAAGACCAAACGGTCAATTAAATTAAAAATACTTTATTTGTGCAAATTGTAGCGACATTTTTCTTTTAATGAAAATATTTTAAAATAAAAAAGTACATGATCATTTAAAAAAAATAAATTACATTTCGTATTGTCTTGCTTACGACATTATTTATAGTAAAAACGGAATCGATTCATTTCTTCTTTGTTCTCAGCCAATATAAATTCTGTAGTCAAAACGGCGTAAAAAGCTTAAGTCTTACACGAAATTTTTTAAAATTCTGCCGTTATCCACGCGTTATAAACAGCGTCACCGTAACATGTTTTTTTTTTATTTTTTTTATTTTTTTTTTTTAATCTTGTATGTCTTTTGCTCACAAAAATTTTATTTTTAAAATCTTAGACACAAAATGAATACTAGCTATTTAGGTCGTATGTGAAATAAGTTTAATTTATCGATTAGAAAACTTAAAACATAATTTTATGAAAATATTACACAGTTAAAGAAATAAAAATATATAGTTTTTACAGTAAATCTTCGTGTTAAAGAAAAAACCAAAAACTTAATGCAAACTTAAAAAGAAAACAAGAAATTTGTAATTTTTAGTTTGAAGTTTTACGGATTTTGCATAATATAAAATTTTTTAAAAATGATTTCTTATCCAAGCAACAGAAAATAGTAAAGCATAAGAGAGAGAAAAAATTAAATTTCTTGTTCGAAAAACATTAAAAAAAATTGTTTCTATTACTGGCAAAATGGAATGCGTTAATCTTTTCTTTTTTGTATTTTTCATCGGAACGAATTATTAATAATAATATTAATTTTTTATATAATACCGTGAACTTATTGTTACTTGTTGTTTTACTTTTCTTAAAAGACATGAAATGCATAAATTGGTACATTGGAATAATTTAAAAAGTATTTATGCAATGTTTAAACATTACGTGCGTACAGCAACATAAGACTGAATTTCTCGATTTTTTTCCTTATTAAATTTATAAAATAGAGGAAAGAAATTGTTTGAATAATGCAAACGATCGCATGTTGCGTTTAATCGTTTAAAGGCCTAAATGATCCAAAAACTTGATCTCCTGTGGTATTCATTAAAACTTCGAGTTCACAAAATTTGTGGCAAAAAGGGCATAAATTATAAAAAGCAATATAAAAACGGACAAATCTATTCTGTTCTGAACGGTCTATAAAACAGCTCATCTCAAAATCATTGGACATTGGTTGCAAGCCTAAAAAATCAAAAGCAACGAAATAATCGAGTTTCTGCGGTAGATTTACGAAATAAGGGAGCAGGTTACACCAATAGGGTAATCAAATTTCTGCATTAGTATACTGATGGAATATTGGAGGCAATCAGAAAACAGGAAGTTATATTTATTAGTTAATCAATCTTGCAAAGACCATTTCCCCACAAGCATTTACGGTTAGAAAATTTAGATGGAAAAGACTAACACCTTTACACATATAATCTTCTTCTTTTTTTTCAGCTACAACTAACTCCTCAATTAGGTTGCAAAAAAAAGCATAAAAAGCGTTTATAACAACAAGACAATTTAAGCGTTTGAAATATTACACTTGTCATAATTATTAGGAGGAAAGAGAAAACACATATTAATCGCAAATAATACAATGTGGAGTCTAGCCCAACGCAGATGTTGACGGAAGCGATACGGCGTTTCGTTTTCGTTTTTTTCCCACAAAATTTTCTTACTACTTCTAACACAACTAATGTAATGCATGGTGTTCGGGTTAATTATTTATCTTGAATTCAAGATCTCGAGTAACGAGCTTGGTTTTGGTCTTTTTAAATTGCGATTTTTTTGTATTGCAAGCATTTTAAGTTGTATGCAAGAGAAAGAATGTTTCCTCCATTTTTCCCTGTGTTATGTTACCATACGCAATGTTATCCCATTCTTTTTTTTTACTAAATGTATAAAGATATCTTGGCTTGGATTTAATAACATAATCAAAAAAGAAAGTAATTTTATAAAGGAATAAATCCTCCTTTTTCGCGTTGTTTTTTCTCATACATAAATACAAAAATTCTTCTTTTCACTATATATATATATATATATTGCGCTACCACTTGCTTGTGGTAATCAACTATAGGCAAATTTATTTTTTATTTCTTTATTATAGAAAAAAGAGTCGTGGATAGACTAATTTTGCGATCGTGTTCTATTTGTTGGCATTGTTGTGGTCTTATATGCTTATAATTGTTAGTTGATGATTTTAGATTTACATATTCTGTATGTCGTGCAGAGTGGCCTCCATTTCTTCTTGCAGTAGTTTATTTTTGGCGCGTTCATTCATCAAGTCGTCTACGTGTAAAATTTCATTATATGCAAATACGCATACATGCATACATACATGGTAAGCGTGATGATGATTTCAAATTTTTCGAATTTTTTTGCAAGTTTAGTTGGTTACAAAAAATTACACATAGATACAATGCAACAACAAACGTTTTTTAACAAGAGCATAGGTCAACAGGTAGGCAGGCAGCGAAAAGACGAGCATTTTTTGGGAACAAAAATTAAGCGCACATAAAAATAAATTAAAAAAATAAAAACAAGGAAAATTAAAATGTAAAAAAAAATAAATGCATGTATAAATATGCGCAGATCACACATACAAACGACTAAATAAACAAATTGTTAAAGGCTGCGAATATCTGTCTGAAAAATAAGATCAATTTTTTCCTCCCTACGAAATAATTCTCTTTGCAGATCATCTTTTTGTCTTTCAGTCCTAATTATTCCTTTTTAAACAAGTCTCCTAACACAGAAAATCGTAAACTTGCTTGAACGAAACTGGACGAAAACTGCCCTCAGCTATAAAAACGAATAAACTAGGATACGCCCACTAACTGGAGTGTAAACTCTGCTTTTAAAATGGCATTTGTATGTTAAATGTATGCACACATGTTATATAGTAAAGTGAAATAAACAAGTCGCTTTACACTAACGGTAAATATTTGCAGTAAAATTTGAATAAAAGTTCATTCCATCTAACGTGATGCATTGCTACCAATTAAGAGCGTATAGTCCAAGTTTTACTAACTTTTCCAACTAAGAACAATAACAAAATTGTCAAAAAAAATGTTACACTGATCAAAATATATACTATGTCTTATGTATAAAAGACCTACAGAGCCAGCGACTCTATTAATTATTAATATTATTTTCTTAAGCGATTATCGATTATTTTTACACTTTGCAAAATATTATGTTAGCAATATATAACGTTCGTAAACCGTGAAAATGGGTTCTAACTAGCTTAGACTGCTTTGCTGGATTAAAGCGATTTTCATTTAGTCGTTCGCACAAAACATACATTTAGTAAAATTATTAAAAATGTAAACATTTTTTTAAAATAATAAACTAATAAATAAATTAAAATACTCTATAAAAAATAAATATATTCTAACAGCAAAAAACTAAAAATTCCTAAATTATAATTATATAAAATTGTGATAATTAAAAAATAAACAATTCTTATATAAATAATTCAAAGAAATGCAAAGAATAGAAAAACATACCTTCAAGCCTATCAACTTCTTTTTGCAGCTTTTGAACGGAACGTTCGGCGAATTCGGCGCGAGCTTCGGCCTTAACGGGAATAAGTTAATAGAGGAGGAACAGAAAAGAAAAAAAAAGAGTATTAGAATATTGGCGAAAACGAAACGGAAAAACAAAAATTTACGAAGAAAACAAAGAAATCCCAATAGAATTAAACACACAAAAAATAAACGCAATGGTGAACAACAACTTTGTCTTCTTCTTGAAATTTAAAAAAAAATAACAAAAGTTTCCCAGTTTCATTTTATTTTATTTACCATTACTAAGGCCAACGAACCATTTTCGTATTTAATAAATGATGTTAACATAAATGTAAAAGCACGTTAAGAAGATGTAAACTTACGTATAGGTAAAGGAATATCAATCATATGAATAAGGAGATCGATCATGTTTGAATATGTACAGAAAGATTCGCATTAAAAGTCCCGCACATATATATATACATATAAACTTATTATCGAAAGTGTTTCAACCACGTCTATAAAGTATCAGTTCGTATTTAACCGCTGCATCTTAAAGAGAGAGAATTGTTTAAACTGATGACGCAACAAACATGATATCGTGAAGTATTAAGTTAGAGAGTCTAAAATTTTCGAAAGAACAAGAATTCGATTTTAAAATAAATTTTCTGCTTTCAAAGCAAGACAGCAAGTGGAAGGAGCATTTGATATGATTTTAACAAACAAACAGCACTTAATCGATTCAAAGTGAACGCTTCAGACAGTATAACTAAAATCGAAGTACTTGAAATTGGAGGCGGTTCAGCACTGATTTCTATATACGTACTCCTTATCCAAGTGATTGCTTGATAAAATATCGTTCATATCAAAATTAATAATTAAAATATGAAAATAAATTAAGTACCAACGAACATGCCATTAGTATTCCGAAACAAAACAAGTAATAGTAAACATATTTATAAATTTAATTCAATACTCTGCCCAGGAAGCACATACACACTTTTATGTTAATACTATATATAAGTTTATACATTTTTAGATATATATCTACTTAGTCATTTCTACATATGACAGTATATGCGTCTGGCTATGTTACAACAAAGATGCTGTTTGTGACAAAGAAAACTTTTTTAACTTAGAAGTTAATGTTCAGGATAACTTTAGTTTCTATATAAAAGGGAACGAACCGCTCATTTCTTTTCTTTTATATTTCATCTGGTTTTAATAAAAATCTCTGAATGATATAACGAAAAAGGAAGATAGCTAGTTTAAGTAAAAGACTAAAAAAAAGGAGGAAAATAAGTAAAGTAAAAGACTTTTTTTTAATTTAGTTTCATCTCTTTATCGTACAGTAGATTTATCATGTTACCTCACTTACAATTTTGTTTTATTGTTTCCTCCAGAAAAAAAAGAAAATGAGCAACGAATAATGCACTTTGTCGAATTTTCACGAAATAACCATATACTGAAGACGTTAGCTGCCAAGTTAATTATTGAAGTTTCGAACTAAGGTACAATAATTCTATTGCTATGTTTCAAACCCTTTTAATATATAGAAATAATCAAGATACGAATATCAATATGCAAGCGATTTTTGGAAAGTGAATGGGATTTATAAGTATGTACTTATGAGATTGGACGCTTGCTTTGCTTTTTCTATGCGTACAATTCAATACACAATAACCAAACTTTTGTTTTGCAATGACGAAACGTACTCAAAGATAAAAATATGTCTTCTACATATAGTTTGTGCACATAACAGACATGCACGGAGCAAATTTAGTGACACATTCAGTTCGATCTCGCGTCCAGGAATATTTAACAAAACCAAAAAACAAATAGACTAGACTTTTTTATAAATTTCAAGTTCAGGAGAAATAAAAATTTTCTTTTGTTTAGAATTCATTTAAAAAAAAAAAAAAATGTATTGGTAGAAATTAGAAAGTTTTTATAAAAAGCAACTCGATTTCGATTCAAACTTCACGAATAAGAACAAAATTTTCAAATTAATTCAATCGACTAACAATCGAGCAACTATATTCACTGACGCGAGAAGAATATATCGAAACAAGCGATCATTCATTTACCTAAAGTCTAATCCCTGTACCAAGTGGTTATTATTATTGAAGAGCAACAATAGTTTTGGATGGATGTCAATTTCGTTAATAACAACAGCCAAGGTTTCACTGTAGGCAGCATTAGCTACACTCAAAAAGCAATTTAGAATGAATCATATACGTTACACTAAATAGAGGGTTTTTTGAGAGCTATCTTGATTTTGGCAACTTTAAGCAAGAACTAACCATTATTTAGCAACTTGCTCTCTTCGGCCTCGTATTCATGGAATTATGGGACCGTACATCTTCAAAAATGGATCGGGAGAAACTGTCGCTGTCAATAGCGCAAAATTGTAAACAAATGTTTCAGGAATTTTTGTGGTCTAAATATGAAGAAATTGACACCAATGATGTTTCAAGCGGGCGCAACTGTAGCTTATGTAACATAGGCAAACACTGAGCTAAACTTTTTAGGTCGATTGATGCTACGAAATTCTGACAATGAATGGCCATGTAGTTCACGCGACTTTAATCCATTGGACTATCTTTTTTGGAGCTTTTTGAGAAGCGCAGAATTTCTAAATATCAGCCAGCAATCAACAACACATTTGAAAAACAATGACCGATCCAGTGAATGAACCGATGTGCAACGATTTTGACGTTTGCTCCACTTTTCCTTTTTATAAAGATTTTCATACATACTTTATGTTAATACAGAAAATACAGATTAGGTGCTACTTTTGGAAAACCCTTGATTGGAACCAATTGCACACCCAACCGAAGCGGCATCCAAATTGAATAATATATAAAAAAATATGTTTGCTCACGCCTTTTTTAGAATTTGTATGTTTTTACACCGTAGAGGGCATGTGGTACATGTTACGCTAATTTTGCGCGGACCTATACAACATCTAGAAATATTTGAAATAGGCATATAATTTATTATACCGATCGATTCTGAGCTTGTTCGTCCATTAGTTGAAAATTCATGTATTCTTCAAATTTTTCGACAAAAATCGCCGACTATTTCGACATTCTAAATTGGTGTGAAAAAGTTGAATCAGATGTAGCAATTTTTTGAATCCCATAAACGCCCTAACGGAAACTGAATCTCTACACCTTTATGTAATACAAAAAACCTAATATTTAATATTTTTGAATGGAAGATGGGTTATAATAACAATTTGACATAAAAATTAACCTTAACGAATTTTGACCACATATGACTATTTTTTTGACCGCAGGCCGTATAAGGCGTGCAATGAAAAATATTATTTATGTATAAAAATTGTGAAATATTTAATATTTTACGATAAAAATTTGTTCGTAAAAGAAATTTCATATAAAACTTAACTCAATTTTTGGGCATTATCGCATACAAGAATTCGCATGTAATGTAAGATGACAATTGGCCCATAGTAAGAATTTGCATCAGATAGGCACATTCTATTGAACGCATACGAGCTCTCATGAAAACTAAACCCTTCTACGGTGCCAGCCTAAATTGTAATTTTTTTAAAAGTAAATCAAGTTTATTAAATTTGGGTTACGTTGGTTGACATTTTGAGCGTCGTTCAGTGTGGAGACTTTCATGGAAACTGTGCCTTTACTTAAAAGTAATAGACTATATCACGAAAATGAATGAGCGACTGCGTTAGTCAAAGTGGCTTGACCGACTATATTATTCTTACTTGTTTTTAAGTGGGAATTACTAAGTTATAAAATAACAAACAACCTCTATTTATTACAACCGAATAGGAATGTTTCAATAATAAATTTGTTGCCGATTTGCTGAAATATGGGCTAGAGACACTATAAAATAATAAATAAATCGAAGTGAAAGTTTTTACTGTTGTATACTCTAAGCTTAGCACTTCACATAAAGTTTACGCTTAATTCAAAAAGCAAATGCTCGACTAAGATATAATTTTTGGCAAAATATTTCACAATGGTTTCAACGATTTGAAATTTTACTTTGATTAAATTTGTTATCTTGTGCCCATAATCCAAGTGGTCTAAGGAGAAGGAAGATTCTTCACGAATTTTTAAGAGAGCTCAACGCAAAAGGTGCAAGAAAAGCTAGCTTCATTCAGCCCTTCTAATTAACAAATGTTACTTGTTGTTCATGCCATGTGTAGGAGTCCTTTTGAAGTGGATCCTTCTCTTCTCTTTCTCACTCTTTTTCTATCTCTTTCTTTGTACTTGATTTTCCCTACAATTTTTCTAAAATGTCATACCTCTATCGTTAATCGGAAACCAAATAATTATAAATTAAAATAAAAAGTTGTTTATATTAGTATTTAATTAAATTAATGTTGAAGTGAAGCGAAAGTTATTCAGAAATATACCTCTTTCAATTGATGGTCTAAAACTCTGATCTGTTGCTCAAACGTTTCCTCTTTTTGTGTAGCCTTTGTTATTAGTTTGTTTTGTTTAATATTATCATTATTATTTGATAATGGGATTTGTCAATTATGCAAAGGGTTGATTTTGATCACATATAAAATTCGCCGATCAAATGGTTCGATGGTGGCCGCATACGAAGGCAGTGCCAGTGCATATTAATTCAGCAAACATAAATTAATATAAACATCATGCATTTGTTTAAATATATTTTAATTTCCATAAAGCGTTTTCCATGTATGGGGCGTGAAATAACAAAAGGCGGTTAGGAGTGCAGATTTAGACGTTTTTTTGTAGATTCCAATAACACATTACACACAAAAAAACAAGGAAAACGCCACACACATATATACACGCATAAATAAAGCAATAAATCAGCAGCAAACATAGACATGAAAATAAAGTAAAACAAAAAAAACAAATTGAGCTAAATGAACAAAGATATGAAATAAATAAAAGGCTAAGTAAATAGGTAAGAGAAACCCCGTAAAAAGTTTCGCACTAGGAAGGTTTTATTTATATACGAACTCAGAGTGAATGTAATTTATTTCAAATTTCCAATAATTGCATTTACATTGCGCGCCGTAAAATGGGCAGATATTCGAAATTCTAAATTTCTATACTTACATTATTGATACGGTCAGCAAAGAAATGCATTACCAAGCAGACAGTCCAGGGAATCTTGTGTTTATTGCAAGAGAAATTTATACTTTGTACAAAACTTTAGCTGCTAAGAACTTTCAAGATTTTGATTTTCTTCTCTAAATTGATTGAAATGCACTCTCTCTGCTTCTTGTGGATGAAATATATTTTTATAATTTTAGAGGCCTTTTATTTGAATTCAAAACTACACGTGACAGGGGAAATAAATTGCTTTCCTTTCTAGGGGAGATGAGCCGCCATTATTTTATCCCACCTTTTATTTGGCGGACACCGCGCGGTAAACGACGAAGCGATATTGAGCAGGAAGTAGATGAACGTAATTTTATGGACTCTTTGAAGCGAAAGTCACAATTTTGGTTATAATGAAATGGTGATGTTGTTTAAGCGCGATGTGACAAATCCAAGAATTGGATATCTTTTTCTTAATGTAGAGATAACTCCTTTCTTAAAATTTAAATTATAATTGAGAAGCTTAAAAAGAAAAGTTAAGGAGGTATGAAAAATTTCGTCAAAAAAGTAAACATGCGTAGTCGTGACTGAGGAAGAACTTTTGATATGTCTATTAATTACATCTTTTACATCTCTGCATTATAAATGTTAACACGACTTAAACAGCGGAAGACATGAACAAATAAAAAAAGCTTAATGGTGTTTAAATTAAAGATCCAGAAGGAAAAAAGCACAGTGTTTAACACGTTTCCGGTCATTAAATTTATTATATACCAGAAGCTTTCATCTATAATACATTGACAAAATTAATATTCGCTTGACTGATGGAAGCTGTTTAAAATGGTAGTAAGTGGTATGTGTTTATCAAATATATAAATATATATGAAAAAATGTTAAGCTGGCAATGATGACAACAGTTTCGTTTTTTTTATGTACACATAGGGATTAGTCAACAACAATAAAAATTCTGTGGTTAGAACATTGAGAGAAAAACCAAACCCCTAGACTTTGAGGCCAATTTTATTGTCTTAGATAATAAAATTGACGTAAATTTTTTTCTTTGGTATTGGCTCAGGTGTTTGTGCATGTTCTCATCTTATTTTGTTTGTGGGAAAAACTTTTTTTGTTATTTTTTCTTGCATTCTCATTTCTCAAATAACAACAATTAACAACTTTTTCTTTTTTATTTTTAAGGTATAAAGAAAAAGTATTAATTTTTATAGAAAACATTATTTAATTGTATATACCTCCTTGAGACGGGTGTTCAAGGTCTTGATTTGGTTCTTGTATTCTTCTTCACGTTGGTTAGCCTGTTTATTGTTATTGTTGTTGTTGTATGGATTTATTGTTTTTAATTCAATATGAGACAAACAAGAAAATGTGATGGTGGGTGGAAGGTGGGATGTATAAAATTTGTACATTCCATTTTTTGTTAGATCGTGAACGTATTGCAATTTTTTTTTTTGCCATAGTGTTTGGGTGGGTTGGTATCGTTGATGTATATATAGGATTGACAGCAGGATAAGATGGTTGGTTTTTCAAAATTTTTATTTTTAAGAGAAATGAATAAAAAAGAAGTTTGCAGTTAAATTAAAGTTGCGTAGTGGAAGAAACAATGAGTTCAATAATAATAATATTTTTAAGGAAATTTACAAAAACTTAAGTACTGTCTGTCTGTTAACAAACGCTTAAATTTAAGTAAATTTCTTTTCTGTAAAAATTAATAATTTTAATTTTTTTGTAGAAGAAAGTTAAAATATCTTTAAAACAATATGAAAAATTAAACAAACCTTTTCTTCGGAAACTTCGAGGGATTTCAAATTGTTACCGACAACGCGCAATTCTTCTTCAAGTTCAACAATTTTGCTAAAGGAAATTGGAAATTTCAAATATGTATTAATAATTTTCAAATTTTAATAATTTTATGAATTAATTCGAATTTAAAGTGGAAAGAAACGTAAAGTCCAGAAAGAATTTTAACTTAACCATATATCTCACGTGTTAGAAAATCGAAGATATGCTCGCTTAAGTTTATCCCTAATATCTAAGCCTTGTTATCATATATAATACAAATGAAACGAAAAAAATAAAATGTGTTAGTCTTCAATAAATTTATTCTTGAAGAAAGCCTTTGTTGGTTTTCAAGCATTTTTATTATGCTTTCGTAGATTATATACCACATATGGCATATCGAGCAAACTACATTTTTTACATAAATGTGTAAGGCGTGAAATTTATTTCTCCTAAGAGTTTGGACAGTCTTTAATGCCGTCAATTTAAATTTCAATAAGAATTTGAAATGAAATTAAAGTAGGCTTTCCTAACTTATAGATACTAAATAAAACTTAACAAAATTGATTTGTTGATTAGCCGCCTATCTTCAATTTTCTAAGCTTTATATCAGAAATTCGGAATTTGGATTAGAAAAAAAACTTTTGTGAAAAGAATAGAAAAAGACTTTACGTTTGTTTCCTTTCTTCTTTTCTTTTTTTCTTTGATACTTCTAAAGAATAATTGGTAAATATTAATCTTTAAAACAGTAACACACGTATATATATTTTGTTAATTGCTTTGTTACAGGTGCACACAATATAACGAACCTTTCGCTCAGTTCAACTTTTTCCTCAGAACGTTCCAGATCCTGTTCCATAAGGACTAGTTTCCTGGCCACCTTCATTAGTCGATAATCAATTTCAATGCAGTTCAACAACAAGAAAAATGCAATGTAGGCAAATCAAGCAGATTTGTTGTGATTTATAAAAAAATCATCGTTGTACATGATTATTTAACAAGCAGAAAGTGAGGTTGTGTTGGTTTTGCGAGAAGGGATAGGAAGTTAGAATATTTTTTCAACAGCGGCAGCACAAAATAATGGATAACAAAAAACATTGGAAAAAAAATATATGTATATTAGTTTAGAACGCAATTTCGATAACGTTTTTTATTGCATTGAATGTGAATAATTTACAAATGATAGGAAGTGAGACAACGGTGACTTTCAAGTGTAAAATATTGCAAAACATGCTTTTCTTTTGTCTTTATATATATAAAGAATTATTCTTTTGGAAAAATTATTCACATTTTATACAATAAAACAAGACATCATAAAAACAGAGAGCTAGCTAGCTAAAAATTGATATAAAAACAAACAACAGAAATAAAAACAAAGGAAAGGTTAGGTTAAAAATTCTTATTTCATTAGAAACATTTAAAGCTAACGATCATAATAAGTGTAACGCAAGTTAATCGTATAATTTTAACTTAATTATTTTTCTCCATTTTACTTAAACATACTTTTCTCCTTGTTCAGCACGCTCTTCAGCACGTTCCAGATCCGCTTCCACCATGGCCAATTTACGGGCAACCTTTTTTTCAATATTTATTCGTTTATTTATGTACAATTATTCGTAGGAAAACATCAATAAAATTTTGAAGATTTCGATAAATTGGGAGGGAAAAAATAAAAAATATTAACATAATGAGTATGCATACAAAAGAAACAATTTCGGAGAACACACGAAACTAGGCGGGCGTACAAACACAAAATAACAATATGCACATTTAAAGACAATTATGTTTTCGTCGTTTGAAGAGTAGGTGGATTGATTTACTTTATATATTATTTTTTATGCACAAAAGAACTTTACGCTGTTCAAAATGCTTTAAAACTTGAAAAGTATTCTAAACAAAATGAACATCGTCCATACACTCTTTGTTTGTTTCCTTTATGTTGGAGCCAAAAACGATCTAAAAGAGCTACAAACAACTTTCTACAACCACCCACTAAAGGATAAGAACATTGTGCTTGTGTCAAAACGTTTGCAAGACATTCTGAAATGGTGTAGGCATGTCTGTTCGTTTGTGTACCTGTAGCTGGAAAATATACTCCCCATTGCAAAAAATTACGATGCTTGCTTCATATTCGCAAAAAAATGGGGCTTACCGTATGCAGTCTACTCTTTTGTTGTAAGTGTTACTCATTACGTGTAAGCTAGAACATGGATGGATAAATATTTGCATCTAAATTCCTTAGCTAATCCTGCGACAACTATGTAACTCGGTAAGATATCCAACTTAAATTCTTTCGATTTTCTTTTTTTTAAGTAAATATAAAAGATTAGGCCGTAGTCAAAAGTTTTTTTTTTTTTTTGTTATTAGAGAGGATGAAATATCAATGCAAAAAACTAAAATATTTGCGTTCACTATTGGATCTGAAGGTATTACGAAATTTTTCTCGCCAGATAAATACGACGCCATAGTGCTCTCACGCTGATAAATGAATACTATGTTACACTAAGACAGGTTTACAAAGACAAGCTTCTGCGGTCTTAAGATACTAAGAGTTTTTAACGAATAAATACTTGGTTTCTTTTCATTTTTATACCTAGCACCAAAAAATGCGGAGTGTACTGACTCTCTCACAAGGTTTGGAACCCGCAGAAGGCAGCATCAGGTACCCAGTAAAGTATACATTGTATGTTATGAATGGTTTTAGTCATGCCCAACTGTCCATTTACGAAAATTAAGATATGAGCTTCAAGATTGGCAAAAACATTGCAAGTCCTTGGATGCAAGCAGTTATTAAAAACCACGCCACTGAGTACGTAAACCGAGACTTTTGTGCTTATTACTTTAAGTGAGACTTATTACTCGGAAACTACAATGGATATAAGAATACTAACTTCCCGGTACAAAAAAGGAGAGCATCACTAACGAAGAATGGATATCAGATTATCCCTTTTGTTAACTATAGAGCGCCTTCTAATTTCCCTTGTTTCCTCTACGGAAAAGCAGCAACTTTTTGATTTTAATAATTTGTTTTTAAGAAGCATATGTGCTAGACCCTCTGAAGAAAAATTCCCCTTATTATTTCCAACGATTATACGTGGATGATATTACATCGCTGACGGTTACTTGTGCTTCGTCATATATATTATAACATACGACCTGGCGATAAGTGAAATGAAATTTAATGGGAATATTCACCAGAGTCCACAGTGGCCCTATTAAACCAGTGTACCAATTACAAAAGAAGTGCGCAGAAAATTGTCGGCACCCTAATATTTCCTGAAAAATAATTTGCTTGGAAGAAAGAACACCAAAAAATTTCTATAATTTCTATAGAGTATTAAGTATGAGTTATGAATACTTTCATCATTTTACTTGTGCTAGTAGTTTGCCAAGCAATGATTTCGGATTAGTTTGAAATTCGAAGTGAACCTAATCTTGTGCACTTGCTTGAGAACCAGAAACTAATTCGGACGAATAAAATTTCGCAAGATCCTACACCGGGATATCACCGCCTGCAGTTCAAGTCTTTGGTTTATAGACATTTAAGAAATTTTTAAATTCAATTTCGATCTATGTTTTAAACTCCCTTCTCGACTTATTTGACTTCATCAATTCTAAAAAACATGGAAGGCTACCCTTGCTTTAGGATAACTGCCAAACTTAGTTTTTCGCTAACTGTAATTAACATTACAATCGACCTTGTATTGAACTGACTGTTTGTGCTTCTATTCGTTGTTATGCTGACTACATTTGAAAACTCTGTCCAGGTAGAAAAACAAGCCTAGTATAAATATTTTTCTTCTTGCTGCTGGCGTATCGAACACAAAAACCAACTAAATTAGTACTAATTAACATTAATTTAGCTGACTTTTGACACATAACGTGTCTGGGTCTGTTCACAATTACGAAAAAACCAATTATTCCACAATTACGGGTAAAAATTTTTAGAAAAGATATTAAAATATACGTAAATAGATATAACATTAACATATAAACTTTTTCGGATATATTTATACCCAAAACGATAAAAGACAGACGAACTATCGGTCGTGGCTGATAAAAGCTAATAAAAAATATTTCCTCGTACTTGAGAGAATGTCATTCCCGACTGGCTTGTGGGAATAAAGAATAAACTCACTTTTCCTTCAACTCAATTGGCCATAAGCTAATCCTACACACATACCGAAAAGTGAGAAGACCTAAGTGAACGTAATGCTCCAACAATGAAAAGCGAATAAAGTTTAACGTATGGGTTTTGCTTTTAATTAAGACCATTGAAATCTTTATTGACAATTAAACTTATTTGTAAAAATAAATCGTGAGTTATACAGCAAAAAAAAAATTTTTTTCTTCCATAACTGTGCTTTAGATACAATAACAGAAGTGACATTCTATGGTCACGAATATTATTCCAATAATTGGAAATAACTATGAAATAAATTATGTTAAGAATGAAGAGAGGAAGTGTTAAACACTTTCTGATTGTGTTTTTGTGAAATTGAAATCTTATTCGAATTCCATTTTCATTTTCAATTAACTGCTTCAACTAATCTCAATAAATACTTTTTTTTTTTAATTCCAAAAGCACTTAAAAAATTAACAAAATTTCATTGACAGTTAGGGATGACCGTGCGAGTCAACTGATTTTACATTATTTTTCTTTTTATATAAATACCCGCATAAGTTTTAACTTCGTTTTCAATTAAAAATCAAATCCACCTACTTAATGAAATTTATATCATACCTCTTAATTAGTGTCAGTAACATTTCTTGTTATTGTATATATATAAAAGCATTTTGCTGTACAAAAACTTTGTTCTTAAAATTGTACATTTTTACGTCCAACTTCGAATTCATCTGACTCGCAATTCTGCACCTTTTGTGTTGAGGACAAAGGTGTAGAAAATTCATTAGTCCGAAAATTTTAAAAATGGTTTTTACGCTGAATCATGAATGTGCTTGATGTCTGCAAGACAATTCAAATTTTAATGCTCATTAATTCATCTTAATTTATATACAAAAACTGTAGAGCTTGTAGTAAACTACTGGTAGGTATTCAGTAATAACAACGCGATAAAGGCACACATTTGATCATTATAAACTGTCTATGATCCAACACTTTGAATCAAGTCTGCGACAAATTCGAAGCTGGACTTTTGTTGACTTCGTTAATATTAGCAATGATACCAGATGAGAGTATGGACAAGTTATAAGTGCTGTTAGGCATCGTGTTGGTGGCGGTGCTAGTGGTATTATTTTCATTGACAACAGAGTTATTTTGTTTATTGGTAGATGATGAACAATCAGCATCAACGTTAAATAATGTTGCTGTTGTTGTCGTTTTTATTTTTGTTACTTTTGTTGGTGTTAATATATTTTTATTAATTTGCACCTCATCATATTTCTTGTCAGCCTCCTCGGCAAGGAAACGTGCTTCCTTCAATTGATTCTCAAGAGCGTCCATGCGTTCTTCATCGGCAAGGGCGCGATTCTCAAGGATCTTACGGGCGCTGGATGATTTCATTTATATAGAAAAACGTAATGTTTTTGATCGTTTGTTGCCCAAAGAAGACATCCAAGATTTATATCATGACGCAAACGTATCGTTATCGTTCATCGTCGACCAACGACGTTGTTTGAAACATAGAAGAGGGAAGGGTGCGCATACACATACACGAACATATATATATATATATATTGATAGACATTTAAAATATGAAAATGTAAATCCATTCCAATAAAAGTTGCCCAGCCGTAGGTAGAGCGCCAGAATTCCAGTCAATGCGATTTGGTGATCATTGGGATGATTGTTATTATTATTATTGTTGTTGGTGTTGATGTTGTTGTTTTATAAGGAAGGGAAAATATAAAAAATCCATTTTTGCATTTTTTGTTCGTTATTCAATTGAGTAATATTTAAAATTCAAGTGCTTTCTAAAGGCATTTAAAACAAAGATTTGTAACGTAAACAATACAAAATATTTCTTGTCAAACTTTTTATGACTGTAAGAAAATTTGACCACTCTATGCATCTACGTAGCAAATATTCCAAAAAAAATTCATATTTACACAACCTCATATTTATATTAAATCCTGAAAAACGGAGTACTTTTGGAAATTGACTAAGTACGTCTCTGTTATATGATACGAGAGTTTTTAAAACCATTGACTGTTTACAGCCAACATATTTTTAGGACGAAATATGAGGTTATACTAAAAAGTGTGCTATGAATATGAATTTTTAATTGGTATGAGATTTCCAACTGCTTGAGGCATTCGGTTTCTCTCGTTTGTCCGACTAGTGTATGCGGTTGAACGTCTCACTGTCACAAAATTTACATGAAAACTGAAACTAGTACACCTCTTTCTACATAACAATTAAACATGAAACACACCTGTACAACATACATATCTATACAAGCGAAAGGATGACGACCTACAACTTATTTGGTAGAACTATATCATTCAAAAGTGTATGATTAGTCATGATGAAATCGCCTAATCGACAAAATAGTTGTATATGCAGTTGAGTTGGTGTGCAATCACGACATATATAACTTTGCTAGTAGTTTTTTCCAATCATTCCCCGTTAATGGTTTGAAGCTGAAATCACTATGTTCTTATGTTCAAGGTTATAGATACACAAGGGGTACACACCCTTTACTAGTCTTTTGCAAGTATTCGTGAATAACTCATTACTTTGAGCTCATTTCACCATATTCTTTCTTCTGCTCTTGGATCAAACATTCAATTCCAAAATTAAACTGAGCAGATGAGACTTAACTTTGGGATATTTCAGAAAGTTGCCTATTTCAACGCAAAGGCCTAAAATGGCCTACAAAGAGAAAAGCTTATAAAACGCAAACTTTTTAAAAATTTGTCATAATAGACGTCATAATCATCTTGAATGCACTTTAAACATTTCCAACGTTTTAATAAGACATACCTCAGTCGCTTGGATATTTTCTGAATAGTTTGTTTTATGATTTAAAAGATAAAAAAGTTATGACCCTCGAATACCTTGTCTTTTGCAAAGTGCTACAAATCTCATACGTTTTCACTGAACCACTTTTTTGTTTACGCTCGAATCCATGGGAATTTTAATAAATTCTGAAAATTTCTTTGGTTATAACGCCTTTAGAGTTTTTAAAAAGTACAAATCAATAAGTACCAAAACGTAATTTCTCTTCAAATAAGATCAAAAACAAACATTTAAAGAAAAATTGACAAGTAAGTAGCATAAAGGGCTTAAGACTTAAAAATAGGCTTAATTCATAAGTTATGTATTAAAATAGAACCTTGAAATTTGCACAAATTCCAGAAAACCATGACATACACACTACAGGTGACATCCGTTACTCGCAATACGTAAATAGCACTTAAAGCTAGAAAGTTATATTTAATAAACCAGGAGCACTTAATGTCAAGAAAATAAATAAATAAATAAAAAATAGAAAGCATTACCGTAGATTATCTGACCCCAAAAAAAAAAAATTATAAACGCTGCGCAAACCCCTGATAACCCTAGAACCCTACGTTCTCACAGAGAAGAAAAAATTAAGTTTTTGTTTTGTTTTTGTTTAAGAGCATATACCTCTTCATATTTTTTATCGGCTTCTTCTGCAATTAATTTTGCTTGAGCTAATTGGGCTTCCAATATGGCTACTCTGTCATCTTCCATATTTGTACGATTTTCAAGAGCTTTTCGTATCCTAAATGTTTATAAACAGGTTTAATGTATGATCTTTTCTTTTAAATGACTTATAAACTATTGTTTGTGAGACCTTTACCACATGGGAATTTTTTGCAATAATAAAAGTGGCGTAGAATTTTGAACATATTTTTAAACATATAGCTAAATAATAAATTGTGTAAAATAATAATAAACAAAACTTTCAATACAATTCGCATTGAAAGCTGATACTAACCGTTCACTTTCATCCGCTGCTTGGGAAGCTTCGGAGAGTTTAGCTGTGGCTGAGCCCAAACGTTCCTCCGAACGTTCTAAGTCTTCTTCGAGCAATTGAATGCGGCGATTCAAAGCTGCAACTTCAGATTCGGCCTGCAATTCATTCATTTTTATTTACAAAAAAGCAAATTAAATAGATCTGAAAAAAACTTTTAAATCTAATCTAAATTCTTATAACTAAATTCAAAGATATGCTTCAAACGAAACTCTAAAGTATAGAGAAATCAAATTCCTAAAGCTATCTACTACATGTAAAGTAGTCTCTTTTAAGTTTGTTATTATATGATCAAACTTAAATAACACCGCTTCCAAAGAGAGGACGATCCTGTTTCGATGATGAACAAAAAGCTGTAATAAAAGAATTTAAAAAAACACCAAAAACCATGCTGCTGTCACCACTTAATGAAAACGGCAAAAGATGGACACATCATTATCCAATATTAAAAATTTATAATTTTTTATAGCATAAACTATTTTGCTCCCTCACATAATTTTAATTTAATAGATATGTAAAGAGAGCAAAACGAAAATTACGTCATCGTTGTTTTAAAATTCAGAAAAACAATTCCCCTTCATTTGATTTGAAGCACGGTGACTACTACGAAGAATAAAGGGAGATGCAGGGTAACAAATATTGTATAACTCGTCGATGAAATAAGCCTTTTTGTGGCTTTATTCATTGCGATAAATCGAAAAAAATAAATATATTTCATACATTTGCACGCACAATGTGTGCCTTATTTGCTGGAAATTTTATGTGTATACCGCGAAAAGAGACAAGATGAGCATGTGTTAGGAATGCTCGACTCTCTTACCGCGCCTTCCTGCGTGTATTAATTTTATTTACATTAATATAACGCACATACTGACACCTTGAATCATAACAAAAAACCGTAGTGTTTGTAAGATGCTAACTTGCAAACTAAAAAACTTAAATTTCAGCAAGATTGGAAGCGGAGACGAAATGCTTAGCGGCTAACAAAAACAGAGACAATCACTAGATAAAATGTTGATTTGTCTTAAAGAATATAGACGAAAAGTTCTTCCTTTTATACCATGTTACATACAATGTATTATAAATGAAAATTTGCATAGCTATTGAAGGGAACTAGCCAGTGTTGATTAGGACATTACTATGCTTAAAAGTTGCAAATTCACGAATATTAATCCTGCGATTGCATTCCCAATTTCTAGGCGTTACAATATGGTGAAGGCACTGTACATACTTCAAGATCCACTCAAGAAACTACGGCGACACACTTGTGCGAGTCCCAAGTTTGTAAAGCAACTATGCCATGTGGCGCCTTTTTTTCGCTTTAGAAAAACGTACAAAAATTGACAAATTTATTTTACGATACCATATATACAATCGCAGCAAAATTAATTGAATAATTAAGTGTGTAGTGAATAATAATCCACGAGTTAAGGAAATCTTTTTACGTATCAAGATGGAGGTAATAATTCACGATGTGTTGTAGACTGTTAAGAAAGTCTATTCTCCGAATTCTTAGTTGCTAAAACTCTTTTCCCAAGAACTCTAAATGTTGGAAAACCACCGTTAACTATTGAGACCCAACTCCATGCTGATGTCCGTAAACAATGTAAAGAAAACATGCACATGTAAAGATTGTGAAGCAATCGGTACTGCATGGTGCCATGTAAGAATATGTTAATTGTAAAGGAGCACTAGTGGAATAAAGCGAATTACAAAAAGAAAGAAGCATTGGCGAGGATATTTCTAATTTTCGACCTTTTGCGGCTGTAGGCGTGCTCTATAGACGGAAATTGGAGATTCATTTTAACTGATGAATGCCGTAGCATATCGATTACTCCCGTTTGTAAAATCTAATAAAAATACATTGCTAGAATTTAAACTGCAGTACTCTCTATATCAAGTGTTTCTTTGATCGACAGTATAATTTGTGTATTTCCTTGTGCTTTGCGAATAAAAAAACAAAAGAAAAATATCTTCTGTCACTTAATACGACGAATGTGATAAGTAAAAAACAATTGCCTATAAATTACATCTGAATAATAAAACGAACACCGTCAACATTAAGCGCCCAAAAGATAGGCTGTCTAACTATTCACTGAAATTGCTTTTTGTTTTATTTTCGGACAATTTACAGTTCGCCATAAATCTCCATAAAAAATATAAGCTGCACTTCCTTGCAAACTCATTAGAATTGTGTAGCGATTGCTCGAAGTGGACACTTCAGCGTTGGAAGTACTTTGGCATCCTGACAGATTCTGCGAAAAGCTAACCGAGTTGGTCCTTAAAGAAAGATTTCAAGAAATGTTCTATCAGATGTTAAATAGAAATACAAAGAAATGCCAGATTTTATAAGCGCGGAAAACAGAGCCTTTCAAATCTTATCGCAATAAAATGCGGATGATTCAAACCGTAGCACATTTTGCATCCATTTAAAGATAAAAATTAGTTAATAGTTTAGATAAAGTTAAATTATTTGAAAAATGTCAATGCTTTTTAAACATTGGTTAAACCATTCTGGATTCTTTTCCCACCAATTTAAAACGACTGCATATAGCAAGAACGTTCATAAGTCCGCAAATAACCTGTGGACATTTAAGCCTATAACTTTGAAAACAATTATCAGGAAATTACCATAGGCACGTACAATCTCACAAAATAAATAATTATTCAATCGGCTAAATATAGATGTAAGGAAATGTTAAAGAAGGGAGAAGAACATAGAAAACGCAATACCAAAAATGTGATGAAATGCAACAAAATTGATATAGAAATAATAGTCCCCCTACTGAACTTGCGAATGTATATGTGGCGTGACATTCAGTAACAATGTTCTTTGTCACAATTAAACAAGTATGTATGGAAGCATGGGATATAATAACAAAAACGTTTATAAATAGAAGTTTTCTTAACATAACCGTAAATGGCAGCAAAACTATATTCGTTTTTACTTTTTGCCTGCTGAATTCATCCAGCCGAACACCCTCAATTATGTATTGTACGAAAACGGAAATTTTGTGAAGCCACCTAAACTCGGGGAAATGAATGCATAATGGATACTAAATATAATGGCAGTAAGATTTGCGAAACAAGCTGAACAAATAACATATGAAATAGGAAAATAATTAAAAATATGATTAGTTCATTAACTAAACCGGAACATGAGCTAAAAATAATTTGCTTTGTAAAGCTGCAAGGAATTAAATATATAGAAGTCTGTTAAAATCGTAGCTTAGAGAAAATAACTTCGTATCTTTTGCAGGTCTTCTGTTCATGTCTCTTTCTCAGTAATTTCAATATTATATTTATCTTTGTCTTTCCTATTATAGAGTCTTATGCGTATCTTTGAAAGACAACAAATTCACAAAAGCAACTACTCCAACCACCAATAAAAGAAAAATATAGAAAAATAAAATAAAAAATAACTGCTATTTATTTTAAAAAAATCTAGCGATTTAATTTGCTGGTTTTTCCTTTCATTTAATTTTTTTTAGTGGCTTACCGTCTTAACTTTTGTACCTATTTTCAATCCTATTTTTATTATTTTACTTACTTCTTCCCGCCTAACAATCTCTGTTTGTAAGCGCTTTTGGTACTCCTCGCATTCATCTTTATATTTTTCCATTTCTTCCTTAGTTTGACGCATTTTTTTTTTAAGCACATCCAAGAGGGTGCCTTGTGGAATGTTGGTCGTCATTTTTGTTTATCTGCTTTCTTGATTTCGTTATCAAAACTTTTTTACTTGTAATGAAATAAGTATAACAATATTCCTGGTTATCTTTGCTTTTTATAATTTTTTTTCGGCACTTCAAACAGATTTTTCCACTACGTGAAAAATATATATGCGGTTATCTTCTTTTTGGTTTTTCTTTACAATTTTTCATTAAGTTACTTTTTATTGATGGACAGAAGAAAATGGTAATGATGTGAAAACGAGTGGCTGTGACAACGAATAAACACGAAACATTAGATAAAAAGCGATTACCGGTTGTTATTTTTTTTACTTAGTAAATTGGATGTTTTTCTTTCTGGTTAGACCACCAAAATCATTTTTAAAATAATTATTATTTATTTGCTTAATATTCACTTGCAATATCGCTTCTATTTCTCTCTGAATTTTTAAAACTCAAATAGTATGTGTACAATTTAAATACACAAAGTGAAGTGCATCGCACGAATTTTTCACAACGAATGAATAAACTTATTATCGTAGAGTGGTAGTGACGAACGACTACGTTGACAAAAACCGCCATTTAATATCTAGGTAGTGGAAAAGAGTCAAACAAATGTTTTGCCAACATGAAGAGAAAGCCTCGCCTAGATTTTCGTCAAAACTTGACGAGAGAATAAGTATTGAATTCATAATAGTAAAACAAAATACAACGCTGTTATGATTCACAATTAGTAGGGGAAAGAAAGAGATAATTCCTTTGTGCAGAGAAAATTTCTTAAAAGGTTTACGAAAACAACTTGCTAATATATAAGCTTTATAAAGCTGCTTGGTAAAATTTATGTAGAAAATAGTTTGCATCATTTCTAAAGAGAATTAAACCATTTAAAGGGAGGATTTGATTTAAATATTGTATAAAAATTCAATCCCCTCTTATACACACAGCAACTATCCTAATTAGAAATTGTAGTTAAAAAACTTTCTTATTAGAGATTTTCCATAGAAGTGAACTAAAATAGTAAAGCAAGAAACCTTAAATAATCTATAAGAGTTCAAAAAGCAAATCTATAGAAAATATATATTAAGTTTACTTTTTTGTATAATATAACTTTTTTCTCTTTTAAAAGGTTGTAAAAATAATTTCATTTTAAAAAGGACCTCTTTTAAAAACGTTTAGTTAAATGTTCTGTTAAATGAGAAGTAACAGAAAAGACGTCGTACTTTCTGTTAAATGAGAAGTGGTGGAAAAAAATTGTAGCAGCTCGATATACTTTATGTGGTTCTGCTACAGCTGTTGTCTTAAGTTTGGCGTAAGGGTTACTTTGATAATCACAATGAAAATACAGAGGTCGGGCACGCAAAAACAAAAAAAAAACAAAGAAAGAAATCCCAATGGTCTTTTCTTGCTCTTGCAAGAGTAGTTGTGAAATCAGAAGACCAGACATTCAACTAGTATGAATACAGCTCAGGGACGAGATGACAATTTGAAAGATTGGAAATGTCCAATTTGAAAGACCGGAAAGATTTTAACTTCTGTATCTCGCCTTGAACAAAAGTGAAAAGTCATTTAGAAAACAAACGCGAATTACGAAGCGAAACAATAAATATTAAATTAGATATTACTTGCAGACAATGTAGTGAAGTTTCAGTGCATGTTTGTGGATATGCACTGAAATACGTTATTAGTTTTTTTTCACGTTTGGTTTCGTGTGATATGTTCATTACACTTTATTAAATTCTAGAGTAAAGTGAACAGTTTTTTTGTGTTGTATATCTTATCGCTCACAAACTTATGAGTAATCAATTATGTTTTTTTGATGGTAAAATCACGTGACTATCATATTGTAATAATAAATAAGTTCTGCGAATATTTTTTTTCAATTGAGTTCTCATTGTTGAGATATATACATTGCAGGATAAAATTGATGTATAAGAGCACTTCACGCTTCCTCAAAAAAAAAAAGGAAATTGATAGTATATATACTATATATATTTGCCAAAATATGAGCCGCATGCACAAATTAAGTACAACCGTAACATTGCACATATATTAACGAAACAACATGAAAATATTGTAACCGATATATAATTATATAAATTTTGTCACATGAACGTTTTTAGGCATTAAGCCCATTTTCAAAGCCCATGTTCCTCATATCAACTTTGTGGAGAAAAAGTTACCCAATATTTGTAGCAGAAATTTTAATTAAAAGCCTACACATATGCACGCGAAAACATACACAAACACACAACTACATATGTATATACAAATGATGGTGTATAAATATTATGTATACATTTACACATTTATACGTAAAGATTTTTTTAAATAAACGAAAACTGGCAACATCATGAAACAAACTAAGGTCAAAAAATTACGAAAATTGCTGACATGCTGCTATATAGACAACAGAGAAAAAGAGAGGCTAGAAAATACAAGAAAGATATTTTATGATTCCAAAATTGAAAACTTTAAACAAGTTTTCCTCACCATATCAAATTGACGAACAGTCTATCTATACACCTAACTATTCGGTGATTTACTTCGATAAGTTAAGTGGATCATTGTTGAAAGACGAGAGGTAGTAGTGAAGTGAAAGACGATAGTATATATACTATATATATAAAAAGAGAGGCAAAGAATTGGAATCGTCACAATAATTGAAAAATTCTGTTTGCATGCACCACACTTGTAATTTCACATATCTATGTGTTTTGAGATTGCTGTCATATGCTCGCAGAACGAAAAAGAGATAAGTGCTTGAATACGTTATATGCGTCTTTGCCGGCAAAATAAAAAAAACTGATGAAAACACAAAACCAACAAGCTGTAACGAAACAGATTAAGCAAAATTCCTTCATACACTACGTAATCATTGCACATGAAATGAATTTAGAGAAACATAATTTTCAAAATTTCTCATTGAATAATTACGCGAATGTTTGCTTTTAAAAAATGGCAGATATTATGTCATGGCAAGCGCACATACATTTGCATACCTCTTTTAAGATATTTTCAAACATGACATTTTAAGTCCTGTACAACAGCAAGGTTTTTGTTAAGATTATTGTATCCAAATATTTAAGATTTTAATAAATGTTTTAAATGTTGCTTTCACTAATTACCCGTTTCAGTTGTGTATTCATGATGTTGTGTAATTCATTGCGTATAATATTGAATTTCATCATAGTATCCGAACTAAAGATGGAACGGCCAAACGCCAGGCCAGGGTAGTCGGAGCAACGATTTTTACTTCGACGAGCTTCACGTTCAGCCACTATTTCTGCCGCTTCACTAGTGCATCGTAGCTTAGCCCATTCAGCTGTTTGCATATCATCATCATCGATAGCTATTCCTTCGTCCGTGGCTGCAGATCCTGTATCGTTCGAGATCTCTGCGGCGGTTTCTAGACAGCCAGAAGAGCGTTTCTGTTTATCTCTTTTTGAAGAATTGGACAATTTTTTACATTTCTTGTCCTTAGTCTGTTCCGAGGCATTTTTATCACGTTTTATTTTGAGTTTCTTCTCTTTTGGCATTTGAGTAGACATACCCAGCATACTTGGAGATTGAGGCATTTGAGCAGAGATCACCCCTTCGTCCACCATACTACTATCATCAGGTGTAGGGCTATTGCTACCAAGCGATGTCGTTACCGAATCAGTAAGTGGCAAGTTTAAAGCAGATTTAATTCGTTGAGCAGCTGCGGGATCACCATCGGGCTCGTCGATGGACGGTGCAGAGTAAGGGTCGTCCAATGTCGATAATGTAGCCTCGGTTTCACCAACTTCGGACTGAACGTGAGAAGGGTTTATTTCACGTTTATTCAGAGCAGCCAAGATTTCTTGTACGTTAGGAGTCACATTTGAACGTCGCGTGCCAGAAAACCGCGGGTGATGTTGATGACCCCGGCGCTTTAAAGTGGAGGGCACTAGGGACATATTTAATTGCGTAGTGCAAATATATTCATTGCGGCATTCTTCACTGGAAGATATACTTTGATTTGACATAACGTCACTCCGACTCCGGGCATTTAAACTCGCTGGATTTGCTTCTTCGTTTTCGCTCTGCAGACACGACGTTGCGTAGGACCAACAGTTTGCATTTAATTGTTTGTGCCAATCTTGTAATACAATATTCTCTTCCTCATCACAATAATGCAAAAGCTTTTCTAATATATCCAATTGCTTCTCAATGGAACACCAACGGGATGATGTGACAGATTCACTGGAAGCTTGGTTTATTGATTTCACCCTTTTCTTTTTTATTGTCTGACGATTGTATGTACGATATTGTGAAGATGATTGAATATTTTCGCGGAAACGATTCGTTTTATAGTTTCCTCCTTTATTATTTTTATTTTTGTTAACTCTACTGGTTGATAATGCACCACTCTCTCTGCCCCGACCACTGCTATGGGCATTTTTCTGTAATGTTTTCTTTGAGGAACAGCTGTTCGCGTGATAATTTATTTTATTAACAGCTCGTTGACTTTGTAAAGTTGGCTGCTGTTTGTCATTTCCACCACTAGTCAATAAATGGCGATGGGCACGTTTAATTTGTCTTATTTGATTCAAGCGTTTAGGCCGCGGCAGTGAGGCACTGCCATTTGCTATATGCGACTTATTACTACTGCCGCTCTTACCATCTACGTTGTAGATTTTGTTTGCTATTGAGATACTTGATATTGTATTCTTCTTATATTTTTTCTTTTTATTGAATAAATTATGCTCTTTGTGTAGCGGACCAATTGCATTTGTATTGTAATCATTTAATAGTCTTTTAGACGACGGCAACTGTAGTGTTGCCACTTTATTAGATATTATATCCACATTTATAACCGTTGAACGGATCGTTTTATTCTCTTTTGGTGGATGTGTCAAATTTTTCTTTGATGCATTGGCGTATGATAATTCTTTTTTAGAAGTTCTCCTGTGATGAACCGTTTGCCATATATTACTGTTTACCCTATTACTCTCACTGAGCACGTTTTCTACCATATTATCAAAATTTTTGGCTGAAACATATAACAAATTTTATTTTAAAACTAACTAAACCTTTCGATTCATCGGTGAGCACAGTTGATGATTTAATTGGTATGTTCATACGGGTTTTTTATTGCTTTCAATCTTATATAAATTTCTGATTCAAAAAAGCAATGTCAAGTTTTTGGCAATGATTCAATTATTTAAATTTAAAATATATCGCAATAAAATTTTTTCTTCTCTGTTATTGATAACTGATTAAATTAAAGTTTTAAGGCTAGATGTAATCCAGGAAAATTAAACGATTTATTTTTGGTTCCATAAAAATTTAAAATTTAATTTAGAATCGGTTCCATTGATTGAAGATTTGCTATAAAAAACTTGTTAATTTATTTGCTTTTACAAATCAAATAAATGCAAGTTCCTGTTCGAAACATCTTTTAGACCAATTTGGCCGATGCCAAAGTTTCGTTTATTGTTACACTTCTTTAGTTCATTTTATTGCACACTTTTCACTTTCGCCTCAACATATTAATTACATTCTTTTATGTGAAGCGTGTTGCTTTGCCTTTTTATGTTATAACGCAGCGTGAAAATCTTCAACACCATTTCTTCCCTTCAAACAGAATTAATCGTGCGAACTACGCTTAGGTTAAACACTTCTTTAGGAAATATTTAGATTTAATGCATTTCCGTAATGAGTTAATCTTTACCGATTCCAGTTTCCAGTTGTAAGTGCAGGAAACGTTTATATTAGATATTTGTCGACACGTCCGATTCCCTAGTGCCCCTTCAGTTTGCCGCTTAAATACCAGCGTGTTCTCTGCTCTATGCGGAGCTGCAGTGTGGTAGTATAAGATTTTATTTCGCTTTATTTTATTTTTACTTTGCTCCTAATGTGCATTTTGCTCCCACAAAAGCATTAAAAATAATGTGTAAAACAACAACAACAACTAAATGTTGTCGTATTCTTAACTTTTACTTAAGTTAACGGTACGATTTGGTGGCTGTTAGAAAGAGCTAAACTAATATTTTCGAACGTTCACAGTGTCTGGCATGTCCACATACACGTAGCATACATTTGCATAGCATTTGTGCTTTGTATCGAATAGTTAACAACTCTCATTTTTCAGGCATTAATCCTCTAACTATCTCATTAAACATTCTCACGTATCTTTTTTCTCTGGAACTAATATTATATTTGACGCAAAATTGAAAAAAAAATTTGCTTTTTTTCTTTTAAATAATTCATATCTCCTACACAGTGCTGCATGCAGATATTAAATAGTCATTTGGACCTTAAAATTTATATCTGGAGTGAAAATACATAGGGGTGATGCAGACATAAGTAACTAATATGTCCACGTAAAATTCGTAGATTTGAGCCCTAACAATTATGTCATCGTATGTGAATAAATGAACAAAGTGATTGTGTCTATTGCTCTCTATACACTATTTCCAATTTGCTTAATATAATAGAACATCTTAACATATTTTTGTACTTTAAATTCACTGCCTAATCACTGAACAATGCGAAAGAGGGTAGCCAGCTTGTCTTTCGTTAGGCAATCGATAAAAATAAACATCAAAGGTCTTTAAAAATCTACCCACTTTTGAAGAATCAAATCTTTGAAAGATATTGAGTCTATCTGTCAGTTAAGCTAAAAATTGCAATATATTTGAAAGCGCTAAGGATTTTGTTACGTTCAATCGCATTGCTGCGACATTCGGATTGACCATGTAAGACATAATAAGATCGTTCGCAAGTTAATGGTGAAAATCCTTTAGACCGTTGCGCTTTGGTTTCCAAATAGTTAATAAAAATTTATTTAAAGTTAAGAGCGTCCAAGACGTTTGCTAAAGTTGTCACAATATTTTTTTATTATTAGTATTTTTCAACGCATGCGTTATACAACCATAAATATGAAAAAGAGATCCACAAATTATTCAATTCATACGATGGATAATCATTGTTGAGATCATTTGGGTTATATGTAGTTCTTCGGTCATTTGATATTTATGTGCGGGGATGTAAATACTAACATGCATAAGTATTTTTGTGGTATGAGCAATTGTTGCTTTTGATTATTCTATTTCTCTTTCTTTTTGTTATCGTTCGTGTTCGTTCTATCTTTTTTATTTTTAAAATTTTTTCTTTTAGAGAAAAATATACTAGAGAGAAATATGTTTAATGTTGTTCTCAGATATATAAACACTCATTGAGCAACTTGTATAAAACTCTTACCTCCCCATAATTATTGTAAAAGATTTGTTTTTGAATGTATCTTATGCATATCTTAAATTGGAGCATATCTTTAAAATTTTTTCAAAAATAACGTTATACATATATACTTACATTTTGCAAAGCTTTATTCTTTTCCTCCAATTTGCCAGTGACTAACGTCAAAGCTTCTTGGGTTTGATCTAATTCGTTTTCAACTGTTTGTATCTTCTTTTGCAACTGACGTGCTTCCTCCTCGGCCTATATCAAAGAAAATCATTTATAGCAAACATTTATTTAAAATATTTACAGCTGATAATAAGGGATTATTTAACAAATTACAAATATCGCATTAAAGGAAAAAGTTTTTTTTTTTTAAAAATTCAATTTTTACCTTCTCAGCACGCAAATTAGCATCGCGTGCTTGCTGTTCGCAAAGAGCAGCACGTTCCAAAGCTGCATCTTTGTCGATTTTCATCGCTTGCATTTTCTTTTTAATAGCGTCCATGCTATTTGACTTTGTTTTGCACTCTGCTTACTCGAAAAGAAACTTGAATAAAAGAAATAACCAATGTATGTGATTTCGTTTTAAAGTCATACTTAAGTAAAAATTATATTATCACTAATTTTGTTTTACCAATTTCCAATAGTGTTTAAATGAAGAAAAATTATTACGCAATTTTATTGAACAAAGTGAATTTTCTTATTCCCTATCAAGGAAAGATATTGCCTGTTAGCTTACTTTAAATGTGTTTTATTGGAAGAAGGACAGGGTTATTAAGGCACCCTCATAAATCGAAATATCTGCTGATTCACGGAAAACAATGATTATGTTTAGTGTTCATATTATAATGCTAAATGGTAAACAAATTGGCAATCAGATCTTTTTGGCCGCAATATATATCAATATGCTAGAAAACATTTTCTTGTGATATTCAATTAATAAATAGTTCGCGCCAAAATAAACAATTAATGGAAATGCCATAATTTTCGTTAACAATATTGGGAAAGAACTATAAGGTCAATTACCTTAGTTTTAGTAAGAAATGCGATAAGTGAAGTGAAAATAAAATAACTGATTTTCGTTAATTGCGGACCCGGTTCTTTATAATGTCTTGTCCTATAAACATTTAAATAAAAATCGCCGCATTCCATGACTATGAATCATACTGAAGTAATTTTTTATTGCTTAATGACACATACAGGGTCAACAAGTGCTGTAAGCCTTCAAGGTTATCGAAGGGCGATTATGTTCGCTTGTTTTTTATGAGTTAGGAAATATCATACCACGCAAGCCGTAAATTTTCTCTTCATTTCATTTTACTTTATCAATTTAATGAACATTTTAATGATTCTTATTTTGCACGTATTCAAAAAAAAAAGTGCACATGAAGGTTTTTTACTGGAGTTGAAGTTTCAGAACGAAAAAGAGAGGTGTTATAATCTCTCGAAGAATTTCAGGACGGGGATCAAAATCTGAACTGTATGGCTTGCTTTAAGAGAGACTGTTGCCTGCGATCTCTTTTGGCTCTATACCAGAGTTATAAATCGTTAACTAAAGACTTGTCTCAAGTTTTGTGCTCCAGAAAGATATTCTTGTGCAAAAATATTGGGAAAATAATAATGTTTTATCAAAAACGCAGGCAAAGTGTGCGTTGTGACAATTGAGGGGTTTGAATCAATCGACTTCCCTTGCAATTTGAGAATCGAATTTATATGTACGAAGTTCGTTATAGACTGCCTACAATAAAAAATCGTTTATTCTTTTAAGATTGTGAGTGCGAAAGGTAGCCCGTTCTTGTTCCTTATGAGACGAGGCGGTAATGCGTCGCCATTCCTAAAGCGATTCAGCTATCTTCAAAAATGTATGGATCTTATTAATAATTATGAATATGTATTTTCATTTCAGAGACAATGGTAAAATCAAAATTTATTACCGTCATGTCCTTGGAATTTTTGTACTAAACTTATATTGTATTTCGTTTGTCGTTAATGACAACGCAATATAATTTTAGTTAACATCAACATTATTATACCCAGTACTCCAGAATAGGGTCATATGTCTTTTGTCAAAAACTTTTTGACGCTAAAAACGACGAAAGGTTCAGAGAATCTAAAAAATATATAAATATTTGACTATGCCAAATTCGGAATCCATCTAAGCAAAGCTGTCCGACTATGCGCCCATTTGTAAGAAATGTTTTCTGGGTAACAAAAATTAAGATATCGGGTTCAAGTTTGGCAAAAATATTGAAACTTTTTGGACGCAAGCACGTGTTGAAAATATGCCAAAAAATCGCGGGCATACACTCGTACCCAATATGGTAAATATAACAATTTAATTTTTCTCGTTTATTTGCTTTAGCCTTTTTTAGGATGAAGATGGTGAGGGTAAAATATTTGTTCATAGTTGAACATGATTTTCTTACACGTTCGTTTTGATAATCGCCAAAGATATGTAAAACTAAAAAGAGCACTGCTCAAGAAGGAATTTTTGACTTGGCTTGCAAACATTGTAAGTCGTTTCACAAATATTGCCTTTAAAAATAAATTATATGTATGTGTTTAATACACTATTCGGCGCAATAAAATTTTCTGAGTTTGATATTTAATTCGAAGCACATAACTATTCGCTTCGAAAGGCTTAGAATTTATAATTGCTATGATATTATTTGCCTGTGAAAGAAAAAGACAGATGTCGGAGACATTATTAAGTAAACCCTCTCAGTATTAAAATCATTTTATTATAGCCCTCACACGTTTACTATATTTACCAGCTTAGGAGGCTATAAATATTCTTTGCCGGGTTATCTAATGAATAAATTTACTAATATCTACTTCTCTGTTGGCATCCCGATTTCGATTTTAACCTTTGGCCACAAATGCATGCTTTTCACTGTTGTCAATGTAAGTTCCCAATTAGTAAATCAATTGTTTAAGTCCATTGCTCGACTTCAAAATTTTGTTTCGAACGTTCACCTTTTTCGTATTTTCAAATTAAAACCACTATCAATCAGCCCCGTTAGCGTTCAGGAATTGGTCATGAATTCTTCAATCACCAAACTTTGTACGAATAATTACCCGAAGCATTATATGAATTTCAGGTAGCACGAAATTTGTTTACAAGTAATGGCACATTACATAGATATAAGTAATGAAATTAATGAACGAATTAAATACTTTCGAAGTTTCACAATTTGAGATTAGGATTTTTCTTCTGAACAGAGTTTTGAGGTGGCAATACTAATGGATAAATTTACAAATATGTCTAGATGTTGTTCATGCTAATTACGATTACATTTGATTTAGCTGATTTGTAAATCTAGCATAGCCTCATTGGTCCAATGCAAGTCCGATTTCTTTCAAATTATTTTTAGCATATTTTTTCTAATGAGCAAACGCGGGCCGTAATAGCGGATTTCTGCTCCTTACACCCTCTTGCGTGCAAAAGAAGAAATTAAAAACACAAATTGCTTATGAATAAATAGCAACGATATAAAATCATAGAGAAGTAGACATCGGAGGCAAGCTAATATTTGTAACAAATATAAGATTCTAGATAGAGTATTAAAATAATTCAGAGCAAATGTTTGCTTGTATAGGCCAACACAAGCTGGGCACACTTTGGAATAATTTTTATATCTT